TCTGGTAGTAGTGTGTTGGGTACATTAGAGAGAGGAGAATGTTGGAGTGAGGAGGTGAGAAAGAGAATATGTAGCAGTCAGGAAACAAGCACCTGTCCTGTCATGAGAAGACAGCACTAAGGCAGTGTTGACTGTAAGTTATAGTCCAACCATTGCTACGGAATACTTTACAACTTGGAAAAAAGCAACTGAAATGTAGGGGGATGTAAATGCAAGTGAGTATGAATGAAAAAGACCTTCATATCAGTCACGACCAGATCCAAACACATAGGGACGTGGGTAGAACACTGTAAAAGCTCATCAGCCACAAACGTGATTGAGGAATTCTGCTCCTCACCTGGGGACCCAGCCCAGACAAGCTCGAATGCCAGGATCTGTGATTGCCAGGGAAAAAAGAGGAAGTGGAAAATTATACGGTCATTTTTAAAGTTCCCACCTGGAAAGAACACATCATTTCTGCTCGTGCTTCATTGTCAGAGCACGCCATGGATCCTCAAATAAACTCATACCACATGCCCAGAATACTCCTGAAGACATGGAGAAAGGAAGTGAAGTGGACACAAGAAAGGGAAGTTACACTGTGCCTTCCTCTTTGAGGGATAGAGAGTAGAGGAGGAGGACAGAGATTGTAGAACATACTTCTGAAAGGAAAAGACTGAGAACCAGCTTAGTGGGAGAAAATGTGGAAGGAACAAAGTATGCTCAAGTTCAAAGTCAGAAGACAGTTCTTGAGCATAGATATGAAGGAGAGCACTGCCAGGGTGAATTTCAATGGTCTGCATTTGGGTGATTGGAAGACAGCGAATCATGGGTAGAAATGTATTATCCTGCAAGATGAACATGTTTAGAAACAAAGGAAAGCTCTTGGCTACGAGCTTGTGGAGCTGGAGGTTCCAGTAGGAGATCAGAGGGAAGTTGTGCGTTTTTCGAAAGGCAGACACGAGGCTGAAACAAGGTAACACACTGGAGGCTGACTTGCTGAAACAAGTGCTGGACCTTCCATGTTGCACTAGCCTGGAGAACCTGAGTAGGGCCCAGAAATCTGACAAGTGGCTCCTCCTCTCAGCCTTTGGACAGAGGTCCATGTGAGGGGAATCCTTGTCCCCATGGTAACATGGAAAACCCAGAGATTGCATTAGACATTGTGGAGTGTTTCACCCACACATTCCTCAGCTGCGCCAAATCCATTTTAGTTTTACATATGGCCCTGTTTGAAGTTGTGTTGGAAAGCAGGCTTAAAAGCATAGATCACTCTGAGATCAATAAGTTGTGAAGAACATTTCCTCCACAGGACCCAGGATGAAGTTGATTTTCTGTGTCCCAGTCCTGACAGCAGATACTGCTCAGTTCCCAATAGCTCAGTTTCAGAAATGCTGCCACGGCAAACCTGAACCTGATCGAATGCAATTTGTTTAATTAACCTTTAGAAAATTCATTTTGTCATCTACAAGTGAGTACCTCACAAGAACTACTGTACTGAGGAAACTGCAGGTTTACTCTCTCACCTGACTACTATGGATAGGCCTGATATGTGCCTCCATTGCAAAGCACCAAACATTTGCAAAAATTCATATTGATGGAAATGATATTAGAATTTTAGAACTCCAAAGCAGCCACAAATTAAACTGTTCAAAAGCTATGATAATTAAAAAAATAGTAACAGTGTTGGCATTAGAAGCAAAATGTGTAGTCGTGAAAGAGGTGGGCTTTTGGGTTTTTTTTTTTTGTTTTTTGTTTTTGTTTTGTTTTGATTGTTTTTTGGTGATAGTCCATCAATTTTGGTACTAGAAAATGTACATTTACTACGTATCTTAGTTATCTTTCTCACCACTGGAACAAATCATCTGAGATCCACAAGATAAGGGAAGAAAGGTTTATTTTGGCTCAGTTTGTAGAGATTTCAGTCCATAGTCAGCTGGCTCCAAGACAGGGCAGAACGGCAGAGGGGCCTGGCAGAGGAGAAAGAGCTCCTGGGTTGGCAGTAGGAAGCAGAGAGAGAGATCAAGAGAGAAGGCAGAAGACAGACCCTTCCAGACTATGCCCCCAGTGGCCACCTCCTCTGACCAGACTTCGCCTTCCCAAATCTTATTTAGCTCTAAACTTATCAGCAGACTCATCCATCGTCACACGCCCATGATCCCGTCACCTCGAAAAGCCCCACTTGTGAGCATACAAGGCTGTTTACTGGAAGAATCCAGTACCTGAGCCACTGTGCCAGACGTGGTTATCTCAGTGACAGAGAGAAGTGCCTGTTGTCACACTCAGAAATGGTGAGTGTGCATGTATGCTTTACTCTGCCTTCACCCTGAAGTTTTGGCTCTTATTCTAATTAGATTTCTGTCTACAAGAGGAGGGAAATATTGCAAGCTGTTGACCAAGAAGAGCTAGAAAAGTTAGACCCCAGGGCTCATGCTAGGCTCTGTCATTGGCTGATAAGTCACTGGCCAAGTTTCCCATGTCTCTGCACCAGTGAAGTCTCCTGGCAAGTGGGCTGAGCTTGCAGCTCTGTACAGTGCCGCTGTAAAGATCAGACCCTCTTGCAGCACATAGGTTTTCGCACGTGCGCTACATGTAGAAATAACAGCATCTTAATTGGAAATATTTCCTCTAATTTGATGGATTCCTAAGCAAATTTAATTTTCTGGGTAAGCTGTAGACACACAACCATTGCTTTTCTCCCTCCTAAAGAAACCTTTCCTATGGCTCAGCTGCTCTTCCAGGTTCACGTAACTATCTGGGAAGGACCCAGACACCAAGTACTCGTTGAATTCCTGCCCTGCTTATTAGTGGTTTGGAAATATGATTATTGGTTACCAGAAGTCTTTCTACACATTCTTGCCTGGGAAGACATGTAGGGTGGTGCTCCCTACTGCCTGCAGGGTCACCACCCAGCGCATGGAAACCCTCATGGGCAGAAGTGGTCTCTTCCCATCTCTACTCTCCGTCTTGATATAGAAACCATATAAGGTTTTGTTGGGGGACCTTGCATTCACATTCCGTATTCACAGTGGAACAAGTCGAATATGCACCCTGCTGAATAATAATGCTTTACCACCAAACATCTTTATAATCTTTTATTTTGAAGAGGTGAAAGGAAAATATTTGCCAGAAAAAAAATATTGCTATGGTAATATGTTCACCCACAGTTCTTGGCCGGAGGGCCCTCATAAATATAGATCGAAGGGGAGGAGACGGGGGCTTGAGACAGATGGTCCACATGAACCCCAGATTGCTGCAGAGAATTCCTGGTCACTCTGCCCACGCCCAGTACCTTTCTTCTTGGCCACCATTCTGAGAAGGTGGTTGCAACCAAGAGAGAAGTTAGTTTGGAGGCCACCTCGTGGTCTTCTTGGTTGGGGGCCATGGGAAGAGGGGACCTTGTCTTGGCCTAGGCAGATTGTAAAGTGACAGCAGGCATGCATAGCCCCTGCCCACTGGGCTATGAAGTTCCTGAGAACCAAACCCTGCAGCCAGAACTCGCTATCTGCACAGGAGCTCATCCATGTTTGCACACATTGTGGCATCCGAGTTTACTTTGGGGCTGTGCCTGCTCCATCTCCCGTGTGCTTATTTGTGTGTGACAGTTACACAGACACTCATGTGCTTATGAGCCACCCTGGAGTCGCGGCGTGGTGACAGACCATAGCTTTCTGGGAATGCATGCGGTGCAGCTTCCTGCGGTGTCCTCTGGGCTGCGCTCTTCCTAAATCCACTGTGGGCTTGGCCTTCCCCAAGCCAAGCTCAGGAACTCACAGGGACCTGTGCCGGGACCGATCCTCCCAGCTGTGCTGGGCTTCTGCATCCCCTCCCAGCAGCACCAGGCTGTGCCAGTGGGGCATCTCCTTCCTCACCTTTGCTCCTCTCATGGAGCAAAGAGCTGCTTGACAGAGCACGCCTTGCACCCTTCGATGTACCCCTTTTACTCATTTTCTTGTGCTGCCATCCCTGTTTGTTTGGTAATGTAAATAGCTATTTTATTTATTAGCTATTGGGCATTTTCCTTTCCATTCCACACTTTTCTCTAAGTGGTTTCATACCAATTGTCTTCATTGCGGTGAAATTCATGTGACATAAATGAACCATTTTAAGGGAATTCAGTGGCATTCGGTATGTTCCTGACACTGTGCAGCCATCCCCTCCACCTGGTTCACACCTTTCTCATCACCCCCAAGAGAAACTGTACCAATTAAGCAGTTGCTCTCTGTTCCTTCCCGGCCTAGCCCACCTTGGCAGCCAAGACCTGCTTTGTATTTCTGTGGATTACTTACTGGGTACACCTTAGAAGTGGGATCCTACCGGATGGAGTCTTCTGCTCAACCTTCCATAGCTCAGTATAATCCTTTTGAGGTGCCTTCATCCTGGACTGTGGATAAGTACTGTACTCCGCTGAATCCCTGAGGAGCACTCCATAGTATGGATATGCCGGATCATCTCCTCCCTCCACTGACATTTGTGTTTCTATCTTTTTGCTGTGACGCAGGGCTGTAGTGAACAGGTGTGCACATGTGTTTCTGTGAGTACCTGCTTTCAGTTCTTTGGGATATACACACATGAGTGGAATTTCTGGCTCATGTAGTTATTCTATATTCAGTCTCATCTGCAGGAAGTACCAAATACCCGCAAACTCTCCTCTTGAGCCATCTGTATTCATGCTCTGTGCGCCTGCCTTTATTAACTCCCAAGCACGGGCACAAAACACCAGTGGTTTAAGAGCAACCTTGCACTGTATCCACACGCAGTCATTTTGCCCTGTAGTGTTCGCAGTGGTTTGGAAACCAAAACTGAAAGTCCTGCAGTTTTACGCAGAGCCGTTTCTCTCCGTCACAGAAGTGATCGGTTCTTTACCGTAACCCACTAGACAAGTCTCGGTGTGCTGTGCTATTGTGCCATGTTATTATTTCCTCAGTGAGCATACTGTTTTCCAGCCCTTAGTGGAAAGGCTAGAGGAACCCTTGGGAGCCCGGGTACTCTGTGACTGTCCTGCTCTTCTTCTGCTGCAGGTGTCCTTCTTCCTGTTCATCGTCTTTGTGGTGTACACCATGCTGCCCTTCAGTATGCGAGACGCCATCATCGCCAGCGTCCTCACCTCCTCATCCCACACAATTGTGCTGAGTGCCTGCCTGTCTGCAACCCCCGGGGTCAAGGAACACCTGGTCTGGCAGGTGGGTGTCCCTCTGCATCAAGGATGGGTGGCCTTCCACGTTCTTTGGGGGTGGGTGAAGCGGGGCCAGCGCCTGGCCAGGGTGTGGACCTGCAGCTGCTGTCTTCTGCCTGTCACTGTCACTGAGTGCCACCTCGGGACACCCAGTGCCACCCAGCCTCCACAGGTGGGATCGGCAGTCGCTGGGCCGCTAGCAGAGGTGAAGGGAACATTACCAGGAAGACTGGCTGTACCAATGCTGTTTTGCTGACTGCTGAGTGGTGATAGGATTTCGATGGTTACAAGGCATTGTTACTTTATGTTGTAATTTAGCAACGTTATTTTTAGACTGGAATAATTTATACAATTAAATATATAATTCTCTCCCACCTCCCTTCTTAGAGAAGGAAAATATTTCTCCATTTGCCCATCTTCTGGAAGGTCTGTGGGCCCTGAAAATCAGAGTTTCTTAAAATGCTGCCACAGCAACTCTTGCTGTAGTAATAAATGGCACTTCAAAGGAGCCATTCTATTTAATTAGTTAAAAGCATTTTGAAAGCTCTTTGATTGCTTTTCATGAAAATTCATAAACATGACGGTCAGTGATTTGGAGTTACTCCTAACAGTCTCTCTTTTAACCTATGAAAATATGTTTGCTTTTGCTTCCTGGGGATCCGTTGTAACAGCTGTGGCCATGACGATGTAATGTAGCGAGGCTGAGCGAGTTAGAGCTATGAACATCACTGTGCCACTGCAAAATGGATTTTATGTTCATTTTTATTTTTTGTGTCCTGGGGGTGGAGCCTGTGGCCTCATTCAGGAGAGGGAAATGCTATGGCGTTGTTACACTCCTGGCCCCACAAACAGGACTTCAGACCTGAATTCCCTGAGCCCTGAAGCTCCCAGGAAACCCATTTTTCAGGCCCTCAGTAGGATGTTTCATTTGGAAATATGAGATGGACCTGGCGCTTTCCCCTTGAGCTTGTCAGGAACGCTTCTGGTTTGGAAGCTTTCTGTGGCTCCCATTTCTCAATATCTATCTCTTACGAACAAATTCGGTCAGAGCAGCTGGGGAGAGCTCTGTGCCCTTGCCTCCTCTGTGTGGAGTACAAGGGTGGTGACCTCTGGTTTTGCACCATGCCTGGGGTTTCCCAGCAACTTATTCAGAAACTACTAGGAGGCACTCACCTCCGGGAGGCAGAGAAGCAGAGGCAGCACATACTGCTCTGCTCCGTGTTCTGACTGCTAAATCCCAGTGACCGGCAACGTGGAGGAAGGGAGCATGGCCCGTAGCTAAGTAAAGGAAGCAAAGAACATGTACTGTTTTTGTAAAATTTTAAAATATTTAACTTCCCCATAATGGTTGTATATATTCAGGCTAAACAATATGATATGCATCGGGTAATGGTTATAATGATCAAAGCAGTCCACATACCCATCATCTCCCGCCTTGTACATTAGATCCTCAGAGTCTGTTCGTTCACCTTATAGCTACACATCTGACCCTTTGGCCAGCATCTCCTCCCCCCGCATTTCTTTGAACTCCTGGCGTCTGCTCAAAAGAACACCTGGCTGGGCCAAGGTGCTCTGCTGCCCATGATCATGGACCCCAATTTGGCTTCCTCCTCTTGCCTTTCCCTGTAGACGATATTTATGGAGTGTCCTTCCTTTCTCCCGTAAACTCCATCCTGCCCTTCACTTGAGCCAGCAAGCCCAACAGTAAGTGGTCACTCATCCAGGTCAGGGGGCGGATGTGGCTTTTCAGTCGGGACAAGCACATAGTCTTCTCAGTTAGTCTACATTCTGGAAATCACTGCGGGAAACCCCTCGTTACTCCCACGACCAGACCTTCAGACATTTCACGGCTTGCAGCACTTTGCTGGTTCAGGGGCTCCCATGGTGCACACCCTTGAGCATTTTGTACCCTTGCCTTCGCCTCCCCCTGAATCAATGAAGTGTCTGCTGGTGCACATGTGGTAGTAAAAGTTCTGGGATGAGAAAATTGTAATATTCATCCACAGAATCGAATGGGGTTAAAAATAAGAGAGAGAAGTAAAGTGCTTTGCAAAGAACCTCGTGTATTCTAGGTTATTACATATCATATTCAGTTGGGGTTTTGTAAGTCAATTTTTATTTGCTTATATTAGTAAAAAGTGGAATTTGCTCATTTTCCAAAACCAACAGACAAAACAAACTCTTCATATCTACAGACCCCAGAGGTAAGATGATTTTGGACTAGGAAAAGAGATAAGAATGCTTCACTCTGTAGTATTTCAGTTTAGAATAACATTGAAAAGAAAAGAACACATTGTCTGCTACGCTTTTAAAAATAATTCCATACCTGTTGCAGTAGCTGAGAAATATGAAATATGCCAGTTGCTTTAAAATAGAAGGTTTGTAGGTAATCATCAAAGTATGAAAAGAGCTTTCACTACTTTGGGCCATTTCTGAAAATATAATCTAAAAGTACCACTGGATTGAAGTGGGAGAAAAATATTTTATTGAACTATATTTATACACCATGTATATAAATTACCAGGTCCTGACTGTGGTGCTTATATTTCCGCAATGTAGTTGTTTACACCAATACTGTGTAAAATAGAGGTTTCTGGCCTGGTCTAAGGAGCGCTTCCTGTCGTGACGGAGGTATCACCTTGCCATCTGAACCACTACAGAACAAATGCATTTTGTTTAGAACAAACGTGTATTAAGCATTTTGTCTCATCTTGTGGCTTTGCACACTGGCCACCCACTGACAGCATGTGTATGTCCTTGTCAACTGCAATACTGACTTCAGGAAGAGCCATGTTCCCTTTCTGTACAGCATACCCAAGCTCACTGTTCTCAGAAAAGTTACTACACTAGCACTTGCCTTAAAATGCACCGCCTTCTCAGGCTGTGATAGATCTCTTTACTGAGGGAATTTAGCTAATAATTGAAAATCATGAATGGTATTTCCTAATGCATTTTAAATTTAAAGCATAATCTGTAATGCATTTTGTAACTTTTATTTTGGAACAGTCACAGACATACGGATAAGTGGCAATCACAGCACATAGAATTGTTTTTCCCCTAAGCCACCTAGAGCTAAGTTGCCAGTTTGCTCCCCGATCACCCCACATGCTTCAGTGTAAATTTTCTACAATCCATTCATTTCTCTTATGCATTTGTATGACAGCCATCAAGGCTGGGTGGTTCACATTGCTGTGTCACTGCTCTCTGATGCTCAGCACCCACGTGGGCTCCTGAAGCCGTCTCGGTCAGTGCACCAGAGGGCAGTGGCCCAGCTCGCAGCTCCACCTGGCATTGTGCTTGGCTTCAGTCTGGAAAGACTCTGATTCCTTGTCTTTCTTGGTGCCCGTGACCCTCGCCCTTTCACAAACCGAAGGCCCTTTCTGTTGTGAAATATCTCTCAGTTTGAGTTTCTTGGCTATGGCCTGGTAAACAGTTCTATCAAGGGGTGAATAATGACAGTCTGCCTCGTTGGTTATAATGTTCATCTGTGTCATGGCTCTGTGCACCAGGCTTTTATTAATGCACATTTCTGGGAAGGTACTTTAAAACTAGGCACATGTTCCTGTCTTTATCAGACCTTTAGTTATTCAATAATTTATACGTATAAGGACTCTGTTTTCTGCTTTATCCAATAAGTTGTTAACCGTGACCATCACTGCTCCTTTAGATGCCCTCAGCGTCTTACACTTTCCTCGAGTCCCTTTGGGTATATCCCTCTGCAGTCAGCTGTTTCTCTCTGCAGCCCTGATTCTCTTCTGTAGAGAGCGTCCTTGAGAGGCACGATCTGGGCAGTAGGTGTTCTTAGCCTTGGATGTCATTCCACAAAGGTCAGGCCCGCATACACTTACAGATAGATAGATAGATAGATAGATAGATAGATAGACAGACAGACAGACAGATAGATGGAACACTGACTTCAGGTGGATATTTCCTTGGACCAACAGTGAAAAACATTGGCTCCCATAATTCCAGATCTCTTTACTTAGTCACTTCCTGAGTGTAACCGTCTGTGGTCCCCAGATGCCTTCTCACTGGGATGCTGCTCTGAACATCACACCCACCTTCCCTGCCCAGCCCCGCCGCTTGCACATCCTCACCCCAGCTCAGCCTTTGTCCCTCCACCTGTGCGAGGCTGCCCCTTCAGTAGTGTCCCCCTCCTTTTCGGGCTCTGTCCCTGCCGTTTGGCTTTTCCTACTCTGGATGCTCCTAGATCTTGGCTTCGTCGCTCCTGGCCAGTTTCCCACTTGCTTACCCCATTTTCTGTGGTGCAGACGCTGCCGTGTTGGGTCTCAGGGAATGGCCTGAGGATGGAGCCTTTGTGGTTGGAAAGAGAAGCACAAGGAGGGGAGGGAAGCAGTGAGACCCCGAGGAAAAAGAGAGGAGCACATTTAGAGCACAATTGATTTGTGGAGGGGAGGAGATGATGTTCAGTTAATCTCTGTGATTTGCTTTGTATTGGTCTCCACAAGCTTTCTTCCTTCTTTATTAACTTTACTGGCACGTATAAGGAATACATTATGATCACATTCATCAGGTACAAATTCCAAAAGCTTTCTTATAATCCTTTTCTCTTTTGTTATTCTAACTGGGTTTCAAAAAAAAATGTTTTATCTGAAATCTAGGAATATGAAAGGATCGTGTAATCCCTCAATAATGAAAGGAAGGAAAAGTGTAATATCAGGAAATTTAAAGGGCAGCACTTTTAAATTGCCCATGTACGAGGAATATATCATTTCTAAACAATAAACTTAACCTAAATACCAGCATCTCTTAGCAATTCATTATTAATGAAGAAATAAGAAATTCATTTATTTTAGTGAGATGCCATCCATTTGGTGGCAGGTTCAGTTAGTGCAGCAGTGAGCCTTTTCATTATCAATATACCAAAGAAAAGGGAAACTGAGGCTGGGAAGACAAGAGTCATGCTCCACCCTCACGCTGTGGCAGCTAGTCCTGGTGGGCCCTGGGAAGCTGCTCGCTGCGCCATCACTGAAAGGGTAGGTGGCT